GGCAGTACAGGAAACAGATGTCAAATGTACAGGCTGTACAGAAGCAGGATGCTAATGCCAAACATACAGAGAAACCAAAAGCTCTACCCTTAAAATGGCTGACAGATGAACCTGTCTGGGTGGATCAATGGCCTGTGACATCTGAGAAGTGAGAGGCCTTGGAGAAGTTAGTTCAGGAACAGCTAGATGCTGGAGATGCTGGACATATTGAGGAATCAACTAGTGCATGGAATTCACCTGTTTTTGTTGTCAAGAAGAAGTCTGGTAAGTGGAGAATGGTTACTGATCTTAGATCCATCAATAAGGTAATTCAGCCTATGGGGTCTCTACAACTGGGATGCCATTATCTTCTCTAATACCTAAGGATTGGCCAATTATAGTTGTAGACTTAAAAGATTGCTTCTTCACCATAATGTTACATGAAATGACAGAGAAAAGTTCGCCTTCACACTACCTACTTATAATAATTCCTAACCAGTACAGAGATTCCAGTGGAAGGTACTACCTCAAGGTATGTTAAATAGCCCAACTTTGTGTCAATATTTTGTGCATAAAACTTTAGAATTCATTTGTAAAAAATTTTCACATTCGTTAATATATCAATATATGGATGACAAATAACTGTCTGATTCAAATAAGGACACTTTGGAAAAGATGTTTGAAGCAGTAAAGGAAACTTTGCCTCACTGGGGATTACAAACTGCCCCAGGAAAAAATACAAAGAGGAGATTCTATTAACTATTTAGGTTATAAAATAGATGCTCAGAAAATTAGACCGCAGAAAGTACAGATCAGAAGAGATCATTATGGGACTCTTAATGATCTTCAAAAACTATTAGGAGAAACCTCTCAATTACAGACAATTATCAGTGTAGAAGGGCATGATTTAAAACACCTGAAATGGCTTTAAAAGGCGATAAAGACCTAAACAGCCCATGATTACTATCAGCTGAGGCTGAAAAAGAATTAGAATGGGTTGAAAAGGAATATTAGAAGCACATGTGGACCGTGTGGATCCAAAGCTGGACTGTAGTTTTGAGAATTCCATGCCCCCTCTCCCTACTATTGATATTATATGATAGTTTACACCTGTTAGTGTTAGTTTTCAATTATTTTAGAGGGGATTGGAAGGAAGTGTTCAGACTTGGTTGTTTCTTTCAGATAAGTTTAGGTTTAGATGGGATAGATGTTTGATACATTTTGTTCATTGACCCAAGTTAGTTGTTTTAAGTTTAAATATCCTTTTTAGACTAAAAGAGGAATTGTAGGAGGAAAACAATGCTGCCATTAACCATGTGACTTACTAGAGGCACATACAGATGAGGTAATAAAAGAGCCGTTTACCACACCGCTAATCACACCCACCTTAAGCATGACTAAAGAAGTATACAGACATAGGCAGTGAATTATGTCACTAGCCAGGCACTTTTGGGCCTGGCTAGGGGTGTTATGGGGGAAGGTATAAAAGACTGAACAACAGAAGTCTTGGTCTCTTTTTCCGGCTTTTGGCTTCCAGTTTGTAGGCAGAAAACTACTCGGCTCATCTGGGTTACTTGTTTGGTCTCTTGTGAGTAATTTCCACAATAAATACTTATTTTTACTTTCAGTAAGTGTGCCGTTTATCATTGCAGCATCAGGAGGTTGTCTCATTTTATAGCCCAGGTTGGTCCCAAATCATTCTTCTGCCTCAGCTTCCTGGGTCTTGGAACTACAGGCATGTACCCCGTGTTTGCCTTGGCATTGCATGTCTATTAGACAGTTCTGCTTCCACACAACATTCACACTGAACACATGAAGGAGTCAGCTCTTCTCTGTGCCCCTGGAGCTGCACTTCACAGTGTGAGGAAGAAGCATGGCACAATGGCAGCCAATGCAGCTGAGGAAGCTGCTGGATACAGGACCTGACCCTGCGTTGAATTACTTATGACTGGAATGGCAGGATAACTCTGGTGACTGTGACAGAACTTGCTGATATTTGTTCTTTGGCAGCTACAGCAGGAATGGTTGCAAGGCAGAGAAGTCACACTGTCAGGCTTTGGCTGAAGGAGGGCAGCAGCAATTACAACAAAAACAATAAAGAAGGGGGTTTGGTGGGTAGGCTAGTGCACAGCATTTGCATAGTGTGTATCAGGTGCTGCTTTGTTACCCAGCTCTACCAAACCAAACCGTGTGTGTGTGTGTGTGTGTGTGTGTGTGTGTGTGTGTACAACAACAAAAGCAAAAACAAGATAACCCCAGCTGCTATCTGTTTCATATGACAATGTGGCATAGTTACTTCATGGACCTGAAACATCTAACTACACACCAACATTTTCTAGCCTTATTCATCTATTGCAATCTTCTTTATTAGTATGAGGTCTGATTTTGCTTCCTTTATTCCCATGTCAAAGTAGCTCCTAAACTGTTTATTCTAGAAGCTCCCATGGAACCACACCTATGGGCTTTTAGGCAAGCAGAAGGGGGACTACATACTTCTCCTGAGGTCCCATGAGGTCTGGTACCCTGGGCCAGGTGGGAAAGAAGAGAAACCTACTTAGTTGCACAGGCTACATCTGTGTTGATACCTCCCACGGTAAGGTCAGCCTTCTATCACCTCATGTAAATATTTATTTGTGTGTTTAAACTGTGTTTGTGATGTACATGTAAGTTTTTATGGATGTGTACACATGTAAGTCTGGGGTCATGTGCATGTGTGAGCACACAGTGACCAAGGATCAATGTCAGGTGATTTCTTGTTGATCTCCACCTTGGTTTCTGAAACAGGGTCTCTCCCTGAACCTAGAGCTCACTGATTTGACTAGGCTAGCTAGCTTGGGATCTGCTCATTTCTGTCTCCCCAGCACTGGGGCTATAGACTTATACCAGCACATCCAGCTTACATGGATGCTGTGGATTGGATTACCAACCAAGCCATCTCTTCAGACTCTCTGCTGCTATTTAAGATGAACTTATTTTCCTCCCCCAACCCTGTTCTCTTCAGTTACTCTTTGGTAAAAATGACAGGTGGTAGTTAGGAGTGCAAAATATGAGCCTTCTAGAAAGGTCCCTAAGAGTCCCTCAGGAAAGGCTCCAAGCCCACAGAGCCCAGCACAGGTCTTCACTGTCTCTTTCATGTCTCGCCTTCATCACTTTCTGTCTTCTGTTGCTAACACACCTGCAGTGCATGGGTGACTGAACACAGGGTCAGGACACATGCTTAAACCATCAGATCACCGACTGTCCTGATCTATTGTCTTGAGTCGGAAGAAATCTTTGAGAGTTGAGTCTGTGTGTGCCATTATGTCAATAGGCCACAACACATACACTTTACAAAACCTGAAAACTTTTTGAGTTATAACCCAGACATCTGACGAGGCTGCTTACTCTTATAGCCTTAGCTTTTAAACCCTGCAGACTTAAAACATCACAGGCAGTGCAGGCTTTGTTCAGTCACAGAACACATGACTTAAAATCAGGCATCTCTTCTTTCAAAGTGTGAAAGCTATCATATAAAAGGGACAGCACTTATGTCACCTGGCAGCAACACAAAGTTAGCATGCTGATTTTCTTGTTGTGATCTACTTTAAAAACAAGTTAGTTCAAGAGTTACTTTTTATGCCAAAGTTTTCAATTTTTGCTTGAAGAAGCACATACATGTAACTTATGTGCCATAAAACATATTTATAATGGAAAGATTGGCACATTTACATATAAGTTGGGTTTAATGTCAGAAGCATTATCATCTCATTTTTAAACTGTGGGAAGCTTGAAGGATAAATTAAAATATTTGACTGAAAACTACCAGTTGGTATTTTGAAAGCATTATTCTTCATGAGAAGTCTTGTACCGACATATCTAGATTTGACTAGAGACAACTAAGTGGAGATTTCTCACTCTTGTCTAAAATATCATCTTTGGGTTTACATTTCAAATGTAAATGCATCTGGTTGACAGAGGCTTAAAACTAATGCAGCAAACAAAATTACATTACACAAGGGGGCATGTTACAAAAAGAATATTTTGTTGGTTTTTCCTGATATAGGTCAGTGAACTCTAAGGGATGTTTGTGTGTTTTATTATTTGCTTTTTGGAGGGTAGTTGTTCTGGTCTCTGAGACAGAGTCTCACTGCTTATCCCAGGATGACTCCAAAATTATGATGCTCCTGCCTTAGCTTCCTCTCAAGTGCTGGGTTTAGACATGTGTCACATGTGATTTTGTATTGGTAACCATCAAAACGTTCTAGGTGGTTCAAAAATGTAGGTACACTTCATGTCTGTGTGAGAAGTCTCTCATAAACATATGTTAGCTAAAAGTGTATAAAATCAGATGCAGAATCAAAACTAAACAATCTTTGGACTTATCCTTTGTTAGGATGTCAAAGCTGCTGAGCCTTCGTCTAGATTGTTCCAGTTACTTCTCGTGCTGTTCATCAAAGGCAATGGATGCATTTGTCATTTATCATTTGTGTGCTAGCAAAAATAGTACCACAGAGAATCATGAAGGCTAATCAGTGTTCATGGACTATATATACATTGTTCAATCTGATTCAAATTCAGTAATGATTCTTTTACTTAGACCCCCAAACAGGCTCTGATTAAGAAAATTCCATCTCTATCCACCTTTAATACAAACCATGACAAGCAGGACTCAGATGCAGCTGCGACCTAACAAACAGTTTTGTGTACCCAAGCATCCCTTTTAGTAAAAAGTTGTATATGGGGGTAGTAAATGTATGGGCATCCTCTTCTCTTTGTGTGTGTGTGAGATAAGATGTTAACATTTCATGGAAGCCAAAAGTCAAAATTCTGGCTAGACTGGCTCTTCCTTGAGCAGCCAGGATCCACCTGTCTGTACCCTCCAACTCCCCAAAGTTCCACACCTGGCCTTTACATGGGTTCCTGGAATCCACACTCAAGTCTTCGTGCCTGAGCAGCTCACAGCAAGTGCTACCCCCACTAAGCCCACCTCCCCCGTCTACATGTGCTGGCTTGCACTAGAGCACAGACTTCCAACAGCATACCTTCACAGCGCCATTCTCATGTATGATGATGCAGTTATCAGCATCTTCTGAGAGCTGGTACAAGGCCTGAGCTGTAGCTCGATGCACGTTGGTGTCATTCGATTTTAGGTAACGCACTAATGGAGCCACTGCTTTGTGCTCACCAAAGGCCACTCTATTTCTTCCCCACATACAGCAGCAACAGATAGCTTCAGCCAGGTGGCGCCTCAGCTTGTCGTTATTCTGCACAAGGAGAAGAAACGAGTGTTCACCACAGTATTTCTGGGAGGCTGGGCTCATGCCTATTGCCTACTGAGATGCCAGGGAATCAGCAGAAGCACTCAGAGCCTATTTAGGAAGTACCTTGAAGGAGCTAGAATTTGCATTTTCTTTTTTAAAAATATTCTTTTTTTGGTTAAGGGTATCATGATGTAGCAATGAATAACCTTGAACTCACTCTGTAGACCAGACTGGTCTCTAACTTAGAGATCTACCTGCCTCTGCCTCTTGAATTGTAGGATTTCAGGGCTTGGACTTACTTCTATGAGCTGAATGTAAACTGTGCTATCACAGATGAGACAGATGTCCAACATCGGTCATTTGTTCCAGGAAGCATGATTGCCCAAAACCTAACAAATAGGGGCCAAATAGGGGCCAATGAGATGACCAGTAGGTAAATGGTCTTGCCACTGAGACTGATGACCTGAGTTCCATCCTGGACCCTCATGGTGAAAGTTGTTGTATGACCTCCACGTGTGCATCATGGTGTGTGCATGCATGTGCGTACACACACACACACACACAATGTAAAAAACCTTATAAGTTATTGTTACTTATTAATAAAAATATTTCTAGAATATTGGATATTCTTCAAGAACTAATTCATTTGATTGGGACAAGTGGATTAACTCTACTTTTTCAACCTATGTGTATGTGTGTGGCACACATGCATGTTTGCATGTACATAGGTACACCTGTGTGAATGGGATACAGGTGTCCCTGGAGGTTGACTATGGGTGGTTGTCTTTGATCACTTTCAACTCTATAAATTGAGGTGGGGTCTTTTGAACCCAGGTCTTGCTTATTCAGCTATTCTAGCTAGCCACTTTGCCATGTGATCCCTCATCCCTGCTTCCTATGCTCTGGAATCACAGACAGGCCAACATATACACTTGACATGTATGTGGGTGCTGCAGCTCTGAAATCTACTTTTCATACTTGAGTGGCAACTGCTTTTACCTGTAGAGACCTCAAATCTCACCTTAATTTCTTAATGGGAGAAGACAGAAAAGCACATACAGTGGCATCCACTGGACTGTCTGCTGCCCTTTCTCTATTTTCCTTATGCAAACCAGACTTTTGGCTTAGAATTACCTCCTATAAGAACAGCATAACTGCCCGGCCTGAGTTCCAGAGCCTGCAGATCGCCTGGGAACTGCACAGAGCTCCCAATCCCGGCGGGAGCATCAGGTAAACAGGCCAGCTTCCCGGCCTGTGTTCCAGAGCCTGCAGATCTCCTGAGAACTGCACAGAGCTCCCAATCCCGGCGGGAGCAAAGCACCCCAGACTCCAGATCTTCTCTCCCACCAACGATTCCAGGAAAGGAGAGGAGGCTGGGAGTACAGGGAAGTAGCTGTCCCTCTGGCATCATCAGGTAAACAGGCCAGCTTCCCGGCCTGAGTTCCAGAGCCTGCAGATCGCCTGGGAACTGCACAGAGCTCCCAATCCCGGCGGGAGCATCAGGTAAACAGGCCAGCTTCCCGGCCTGTGTTCCAGAGCCTGCAGATCTCCTGAGAACTGCACAGAGCTCCCAATCCCGGCGGGAGCAAAGCACCCCAGACTCCAGATCTTCTCTCCCACCAACGATTCCAGGAAAGGAGAGGAGGCTGGGAGTACAGGGAAGTAGCTGTCCCTCTGGCATCATCAGGTAAACAGGCCAGCTTCCCGGCCTGAGTTCCAGAGCCTGCAGATCGCCTGGGAACTGCACAGAGCTCCCAATCCCGGCGGGAGCATCAGGTAAACAGGCCAGCTTCCCGGCCTGTGTTCCAGAGCCTGCAGATCGCCTGGGAACTGCACAGAGCTCCCAATCCCGGAGGGAGCATCAGGTAAACAGGCCAGCTTCCCGGCCTGTGTTCCAGAGCCTGCAGATCGCCTGGGAACTGCACAGAGCTCCCAATACCGGCGGGAGCAAAGCACCCCAGACTCCAGATCTTCTCTCCCACCAACGATTCCAGGAAAGGAGAGGAGGCTGGGAGTACAGGGAAGTAGCTGTCCCTCTGGCATCATCAGGTAAACAGGCCAGCTTCCCAGCCTGAGTTCCAGAGCCTGCAGATCGCCTGGGAACTGCACAGAGCTCCCAATCCCGGCGGGAGCCAAGCACCCCAGACTCCAGATCTTCTCTCCCACCAAAGAGACCAGGAAACTACAGGAACCAGGGAGACCAGGGGAGTAGCTGTTCCGGATCAGGTACAACAGGACCCAGCATAGGGTCCAGGGGACCAGGTAGGAGGCTAAGCGCCCCAGATTCCTGTTCTTCTTCTCTACCCACGGACCAGCATTTGGACAAGGCATAGAAGAACCACCAGATTACTGGACTTACTAGCACCCACCAAAGGGAACTCTGGTCCCCAGACCAGGAAGGGGCTCTTTCTGCACCCACTAAAAGAAGAGATGGGAAAGAGACAATACAAAAACACAGTCAGCAACAGAAAAACAAATATGACACCGCCAGATTCTAGAGACTCCACACCAGCAAGACCCCAATATTCAAACGCGAAGGAAGCAGAAGAGAACGATCTTAAAAGCACTTTCATGAAAATGATAGAGGCCCTAAAAGAGGATATTGGAAAATCCCTCAAAGAAATGGAAGAAAAAACAAACCAAAAAATGCAAGAAATGGAAGAAAAAACAAACCAAAAAATGCAAGAATTGGAAGAAAAAACAAACCAAAAACGGCACGAAATGGAAGAAGAAATGAAGCAAAAAATGCAAGAAATGGAAGAAAAAGCAAAGCAAAAAATGCAAGAATTAGAAGAAGAAACATACCAAATAAGGCAGGAAATGGAAGAAGCAACAAAGCAAAAAATGCAAGAAATGGTAGAAAAAACAAAGCAAAAAATAAAAAAAATGGAGGAAGAAACAAACCAAAAAAGGCAGGAAAGGGAAGAAGAAACAAAGCACAAAATCCAAGAAATGGAACAAAAAGCAAACCAAAAAATGCAAGAAATGGAAGAAAGAACAAACCAAAAAATTCATAAAAGGCAACAAACGGACGAACAGATAAACAGAAAATTGCAAGAAGCAATGCAAATGCTGCAAGGGTTGAAAACTGAAATAGAGACACTAAAAAAAACACAATCTGAAGAAAGGCAGAAAATAGAAAAGCTGGACAAACAGTCAGGCACTACCAATACAAGCATTACCAACAGAATAGAAGAGATGGAAGAGAGAATCTCAAGTGTTGAAGATACATTAGGAGAAATGGATTTATCAACCAAAGAAAACCTTAAATCCAACAAATCCTTAACACAAAACATCCAGGAATTATGGGACACCATGAAAAGACCAAACATAAGAATAATAGGTATAGAAGAAGGAGAAGAAATCCACCTCAAAGGGGCAGAAGGCATATTCAACAAAATCATAGAAGAAAACTTTCCCAACCTTAAGAAAGACATGCCAATGAAGGTACAAGAAGCCTACAGAACACCAAATAGAGTGGACCACAAAAAAAATCCCCTCGCCACATAATAATCAAGACCCCAAACATACAGAATAAAGAAAGAATATTAAGAGCAGCTAAGGAAAAAGGTCAAGTAACATATAAAGGCAGACCTATCAGAATTACACCTGATTTCTCCATGGAAACTCTGAAAGCCAGAAGGTCCTGGATAGATATTCTACCTACACTAAGAGACCATGGATGCCAGCCCAGACTACTATACCCGGCAAAGCTCTCAATCACTATAGACGGAGAAAACAAGATATTCCATGACAAAACTAGATTCAACCAATATGTGTCCACTAACCCAGCCCTACAGAAAATTTTGGAAGGAAAACTCCAACCCAAGGAAGCTAACTACAACCAGAAAAACATAAGCATTAGAGAATCCCTCTCTACCAACAGCCAAAAGAACAAAGGGGCGAAATTCCACCCATAATTCCACCAACAACAACCATCGCAAATCGAAGAAGGATGAGCAATCAATGGTCATTAATATCCCTCAATATTAATGGCCTTAACTCACCCATAAAAAGACACAGACTAGCAGAATGGATTCGAAGACAGAACCCTTCCTTCTGCTGCATACAAGAAACACACCTCACCCTCAAAGACAGACATTACTTGAGAGTTAAAGGTTGGGAAAAAATTTTTCAATCAAATGGACCCAAGAAACAAGCAGGGGTAGCAATCCTAATATCTAACAAACTAGACTTTAAAATAAAATCAATCAAAAGAGATGAAGGAGGTCATTACATACTCATCACAGGTGAAACCCACCAAGACGAAGTGTCTATCCTGAACATCTATGCCCCCAATACAAAGGCATCCACATTCGTTAAAGAAACATTATTAGAACTTAAATCTCATCTAAAGCCCCACACAGTTATAGTGGGAGATTTCAACACACCACTCTCACCACTAGACAAGAATACCAGACAGGAACTCAACAAAGAAGCAAAGGGTCTAATAGAAGTAATGACCCAACTGGGATTAACAGATATCTATAGAACATTTCATCCACATAAAAAAGAATATACCTTCTTCTCACCACCACATGGAACCTTCTCAAAAATCGACCACATACTTGGCAACATATCAAACCTCAGCAGCTACAAAAAAATTGGAATAACTCCATGCATCTTATCAGACCACCATGCCTTAAAATTAGAATTCAACAACAACACAAAGTGCAGAAAACCTACAAACTCATGGAAATTGAATAATGCTCAACTGCACCATCCCTGGGTCAAAGAGGAAATAAAAAAAGAAATTAAAGACTTCCTCGAACTCAATGAGAATGAAGACACAACATACCCAAACCTATGGGACACTTTGAAAGCAGTGCTACGGGGAAGTTCATAGCACTAAGTGCTCACATGAAGAAACAGGAAAACAGTTATACCAGAGAATTAACATCACAGCTAAAAGCTCTAGAACACAAAGAAGCAAACTCCCCCAGGAGGAGTAGACGCCAGGAAATAATCAAATTGAGGGCTGAAATCAACAAAGTAGAAACCAGGAAAACAATACAAAGAATCAATGCAACGAAGAGTTGGTTCTTTGAGAAAATCAACAAGATAGACAAACCTTTGTCCAAACTTACCAAACAGCAGAGAGTGAACACGCAAATTAACAAAATCAGAAATGAAAAGGGGGACATAACAACAGACTCTGAGGAAATCCAGAGAATCATTAGGTCATACTTTGAAAACCTGTACTCCACAAAATTCGAAAATTTAAAGGAAATGGATGACTTCCTGGACAGCTATCATTTGCCAAAACTAAATCAAGAACAGATAAGCAATTTAAATAGACCTATAACCCCTATGGAAATAGAAGCTGTCATCAAAAGTCTCCCAACCAAAAAAAGTCCAGGTCCAGATGGCCTCAGTGCAGAATTCTACCACAAATTCAAAGAACAGCTTATACCAATTCTTCTCAAAGTGTTCCACACAATAGAAGCAGAAGGGTCTTTGCCAAACTCTTTCTATGAGGCTTCAATAACCTTGATCCCCAAGCCACACAAAGATACAACCAAGAAAGAGAACTTCAGACCAATATCCCTCATGAACATTGATGCAAAAATACTCAATAAAATACTGGCAAATCGGATCCAAGAACACATCAAAACAATCATTCACCACGATCAAGTAGGTTTCATCCCAGGGATGCAGGGATGGTTCAACATACGAAAATCCATCAACGTAATCCACCATATAAACAAGCTGAAAAACAAAAATCACATGATCATCTCACTAGATGCTGAAAAAGCCTTTGACAAAATCCAACATCCCTTCATGATAAAGGTCTTGGAGAGATCTGGGATAACAGGGACATACTTAAACATAATAAAAGCCATATACAGTAAACCAACAGCCAACATCAAACTAAATGGACAGAAACTCAACGCAATTCCTCTAAAATCAGGAACAAAACAAGGCTGTCCACTCTCTCCATACCTTTTCAACATGGTACTTGAAGTTCTAGCTATAGCCATACGACAACAAAGGGGGATCAAGGGGATACAAATTGGGAAGGAAGAAGTCAAACTTTCACTGTTTGCAGACGATATGATAGTTTATATCAGTGACCCAAAGAACTCTACCAGGGAACTCTTACAGCTGATTAACACCTTCAGCAAAGTGGCAGGTTACAAGATCAACTCAAGAAAGTCAGTAGCCCTACTATATACAGATGATAAAAGGGCTGAAAGAGAAATCAGAGAAACATCACCCTTTACAATTGCCACAAACAACATAAAATACCTTGGGGTAACGCTAACCAAACAAGTGAAAGACCTGTATCGTAAGAACTTTGAATCTTTAAAGAAAGAAATTAAAGAAGCCCTCAGAAAATGGAAAGATCTCCCATGCTCTTGGATAGGTAGGATCAATGTAGTAAAAATGGCAATCCTGCCAAAAGCAATCTACAGATTCAATGCTATCCCCATTAAAATCCCAGCACAATTCTTCACAGACCTTGAAAGAACAATAATCAATTTTGTATGGAAAAACAAAAGACCCAGGATAGCCAAAACAACCCTGTTCAACAAGGCAACGTCCGGAGGCATCACTATCCCTGACCTCAAGCTCTATTATAGAGCTATAGTCCTGAAAACAGCTTGGTATTGGCACAAAAATAGACAGGCAGACCAATGGAATCGAATTGAAAATCCGGGTATTAACCCACACACGTACGAACATCTGATCTTCGACAAAGAAGCTAAAAATATACAATGGAATAAAGAAAGCATCTTCAACAAATGGTGCTGGCATAATTGGAGACTGGCATGTAGAAAAATGCGGATCGATCCATGTTTATCGCCATGCACAAAACTTAAGTCCAAATGGATCAAAGACCTCAACATAAATCCAGCCACACTGAACCTCTTAGAAGAGAAAGTGGGTGGTACCCTTGAAAGAATTGGTACAGGAGACAGCTTCCTGAACATAACACCAGTAGCACAGACAGTGAGATCAACAATTAATAAATGGGACCTACTGAAACTGAGAAGCTTCTGTAAGGCAAAGGACACAGTCAGCAAGACAAAAAGGCAGCCCACAGAATGGGAAAAATATTCACTAATCCCACATCTGACAGAGGGTTGATCTCCAAAATTTACAAAGAACTCAAGAAGCAAGTCTCCAAAACAGCAAAGGACCCAATTAAGAAGTGGGCTGCAGAACTAAATAGAGAGTTTTCAATAGAGGAGTCTAAAATGGCTGAGAGGCACTTGAGAAAGTGCTCAACATCCTTAGCCATCCGGGAAATGCAAATCAAAGCAACTCTGAGATACCATCTCACTCCTGTCAGAATGGCTAAAATCAAAAACACCAATGACAATTTATGCTGGAGAGGATGTGGTGAAAGGGGGACACTCCTCCATTGCTGGTGGGAGTGCCAACTGGTTCAGCCACTTTGGAAAGCAGTATGGAGATTCCTCAGAAAAATGGGAATAAACCTACCACAAGACCCAGCAACTGCACTCTTAGGCATATATCCAAAAGATGCCCATTCATATAACAAAGATGTCTGTTCCACTATGTTCATAGCAGCTTTATTTGTAATAGCCAGAACTTGGAAGCAACCTAGATGTCCCTCACCCGAAGAATGGATAGAGAAAATGTGGTACATCTACACAATGGAGTACTATTCAGCAGAAAAAATAATGGAATCATGAGATTCGCAGGCAAATGGATGACACTAGAAGAAACCATCCTGAGTGAGGTAACCCAGTCACAAAAAGAGAAACATGGCATGTACTCTCTCATATATGGATTTTAGACATAGATCTGGGGAGTGCCAGCCTACAATCCTATGGCCAGAGAGTCTGGGAAACAGAAACTTCATTTACTGGCTGGTTAAGTACTGAGCTGAACTCAAGAAAGCCAGTATCAGAGAGGGAGGACTGATGATCAAAGGGATTAAGACTGGGCTGGTTGAACCCCCAGAAACAGCTGACCAGACAAAGGTTAACTCTTGAATCCCAGGCATCAGCCTGGGAATCCAGCATGGGACTGATCAAGACCCCCTGAATCTGGGTGTCAGTGAGGAGGCCTAGGTAATCTATTGAGCCTTGGACAGCAGATCAGTACCCATCCCAAGTATACACACGGTCTCTGGACTCCCATAGAACAATGTGAGGTGCACTCTCACCCTGAACTCTTGGGGAAGGGTCTAGGCCCTGCCCTATATGAAATGACAGACTATGGACACCCCCATGGAGGGCCTCACCCTCCCTGGGGGAATGAGGGGATAACGGGGGGGGATGGGGGGTGGGCACAGGAGGAGGGGAGGGAAAGGGAGAGGGACCTCGTACTGACTTGTGAAGCAACTTTGTTTCTTATCTAAATTTAAAATGGAAAATAAAAAAAATATTAATATAAAAAAAAAAAAAAAAAAAAAAAAAAGAACAGCATAACTGAGTGTGATGTGGTTTTCCATTGTCCTGTTCTCTTGACGCAGAGAGCTTGTTACCCTCTGAGTCTGACAGATCCTCTTAGAAATGCTGGTGTCCTACAGTGTTTGCATTTCTGTTTTGTCCCGCTGCTGCCAACTGCTACTCCAGCTCTGCCCAGATACCTCTGGGAATGGTGAAGTCATCGTCTGAAGGCCCTGCTCTAGCTGTCACAGTTTTAAATAAACAGTATAGTACTGCTAACATCGTCCAGCTCAGAACTGTCACAGTCCAGGCTTCTAAGCTAGGAAAGGAACAATTCAACTTCTAATGACAGTGGCAAGGAAGATGACAGCTAACATTTACATAACAGCACTTATGTTTGCCACAGCTTTGCTTGCCAACAACAAATAATAAAAAGCCTTTATTTAACAAAGACCTTGCATATCAATATTGTTTGTAAAATATACCTTTGTGTCATCAATCTTAGGGAAACTCAAGAGTTGAAGACAATCTTACACTTCACAAGCAATGGACATGAAACTTCAATTCAGATCTCTGGAGTTCACGTTCCTTGCTTTTTTGTCTATTGTGATTTGAGATACCACATGAAAACAAGGCATTACTTACTGTGTTGGCAAGTTTGGACAGCAGAGGAACAACTCCATGGTCTGTAATAACAGCTAAGTTTTCTTGGTCTTTTGCTATGTTGGTGATAGCGGCGCAGACACTTGCCAGGACTTCTTTATTATCTGACTTCAATAAATTGACAACAAGTTCTAAACCACCAACGAAGGAACGAACCATTTCTCCAGCATCCTGAGTAAAAGAGAAACACCTTCTCTTAGGCTAGTTTACAAAAGGTAGAAATAATAATAAGGCTATTAGGTATATTTTAAGATAAAAGAAACATTTAGTATATTTCTGTATTTTCAAATTCTATGTATATATAAGTATGTTTATGTATGTAATGTTGAATATGTTCCCAACATGTATACACAGATTGGTTTGAATATTTACCATAGGAGCTACTGAGAAGGTAGCAAAACACAGTTGGTTTTTAATATCTGCAGGCAGTTATATAGTTACTACAAGCATTGAAGTAGGCAATAGTGCACCACTGCTCTTTGGAGGAAACACAGAGTTAGGTTCTGACCAGCTCTGGGGACAATATTTTTGCCAACTGATCAATATATAACATTATTGTTATGTTTCAGTTTGAGCACTCCTCATTTTATATATTAAGCAATCACATTTATTTATTTATTTATTCATTAATTTGGGGGGTATGCTTGCCACAGCACACTAGTAGTCGGAGGACAGCTTGCAGGATTCGGTTCTCTCTTTATTTCCAGAGGATCTGACTTAGGGGTGAGACTTCATTGCAGTGCCTTTACCAGCTGAGTCATCATGCTGGTATGTACATGTATATTTTCAACTTATTAACATTAACACCATGACCAACAGCACTATAACTCATGTATAGAAGCTTGTCAAACACATATTTACTCTGAAAAGTACATCAAAGCCTTCTTGTGCTTAAGAACCACAGGCAATACTTCAGTATAATGCCTGGGGACTGTTTAGCAGTGAAATAGTGAACACAAAGCACAAAAATATGAAAAATGTGGCTCCAGGTGGACTCCCAAACAGCCCCACATTTCCAGTATGAGCTGAAACAAAAATGCTAAGTGACCTGTGTGACCTGTTCAGCTTCAGCCAACAGCACACAGGCCAAAGATCTGGACTCTATACACTTCTGCTCGTCTCCAAGAATGGCTGTGAAAAGGCCTCAAGAGTGAGCTGGGGTTACAAAGAGGCTTCTATCAAGAATCAGTGAATGAGCATGTTGATATACACACTGCGTGCCATTGTGATGGACACATCTGGTGGGGAAACCAAATGTGCACTGAGAAAAGACATGATTCCGGGCAGACATAGTGGTTCAATCTTGTAATGATAGTCTGGGGCTGAGGCAGGAGGACTGTGAATCTGATGAAAGCCTGGACTGCAGGACCCTGCCTCCACAAGGGGGCAATAGGAAAGGTAAGGGAAATACAGTGAATAGCACACCACCAGACAGGTGGGTAGGGCGGAGACATGCTAGGGACTGATATAAATAGCGGGATATAACGTCTTTAGGAGACACTGCCTGAACTGTATGTAAATGTGCTAGCCTGACTAAGCCTTACCATGATCCTGCACAGTAGGTATGATTATTGATTATTTCAAGTTTGGATCTTTCAAACTGATTTAAAAATTTAAAACTGGTTTACAGATGTTGAACCTTATAAACTAGATTATATCCCGAGCAAAGGCAAGATGCCACGTGAACTTTATCAATTGTCAATTTGATTTCCATATTCCCACACCTCCTAAGTTCTTCCATGGTGCACCTGATGTGGGAGAAAATTCAAGCTCCAAAACTCAGTTACTAAGACATTCTTTGCAGCCTGGTCTTTATCTATAGCCTCAATCTGATCACTTCTAATATCTGACACAAGCACTATTCCACTGGCTTCTGCTGAAAACTGAGGTAAGAGGCTCCTAAAACACGTCACCCAAAGCACAGACCACTACAGGTAGTGAATGGCTTCCTTGTTTCTCTTTTACCTTGAACTTTATCTTCTAGGTGGGCAGGTCATTCATTATTCACTAACCGTGCCAGTGTCTAGCAGTTAGTGCTTATTCAAATCATGGTCTTTCCCATTGCAAGCCTGTAGGGAGCACAGGTGCCTTTGTGCTCCTAGACACGCACTAGGAGAACCTGGAATGTTTAGCACATGGGGTTGTACCTTCAAAGGAAGGAATACAAAATGCAGAAAAATCCCCACAGGATTTTTCACATATGAGAGCTGTTATTTTGAGTGACATTCCCCCCAAATTTTATACTGCTTAATCATTGTGTTTGTAAGATTAAGACTCAGCAATAGCTGGGGCTTCCTCCCCCACTCCAGAGCTCTGTTTATCTCTATCTGTACAATAGAAGATAGATGGTAGATGGATGGATGACAGTATAGTAGATAGATAGATAGCTGGATAGATAGATCGTAGATAGTGACAAATACAGATAGATGATAGATAACTTGATGGCTTGATAGAAACATACCTCTCCCATAACGAACTGTCACATAAATCTGAATTATCTTTCATATTTCATGTAAGTCTCCTTATCAGTAAGCTTCTAGAAAACTATTAATTTTTCTTCCATTTCCTTCTCTGAACTCATTGTTCACCTTAGTACTACCTGTATAAATTATCTGTGGAAATGATGATGACAAGTGACCATAAATATCTCACATTTAGTTTTTAGTGCATTAAATAATTACTGTCATTGTACCAATGACACTGTGGAACAATCCCTTTCCTTGATATGGGCTTTTCTACAATCCCCTTTCTTAGTCAGGCCACCAATCCCCAGCCTTCCTCTCTATCTTAGCACTGTTGCTGGGGATCTCTTCCCTTCTGCTTCCTCACCCACATTCCCCTTCATACACTGATGATCACACACACACACACACACACACACACACACACACACACACACACACACACACACACCTCGAAAATATCCAGATTCATAATATCCAAAGACTGGACATTTCCACCTGAAAGAGAGCAAATTCACCGTCTTCCTTCGAAGTCACAGTCCTCTTGTGTTTGGTGAAGCTTACAACATGTTCCAGTTGTCAAAGATAATCAAACAAAAGTAATTGTTCCATATCTTTGTTGACTGCCTCTTCAGGCACCAGTTTTGACTGTATTTCTCCATCATTTATTCCTTACATTTGCTCTATGTGTCACACTGCTGCTGTAATAGGCTAAATTCTAATTATTTCCATCTAGGTTCCCACAATAGCTTTATTAGTCACCCACCCATGCATTTTCAAGTTACCTGTGCTCACTTAAAACACTTCAAGTGCTCAGGGCACCCAAAAAACACAGGCACATGTAGGGAGGAAATTACAATTATTGGCGAGAGAAGTTAGGCAAAGATCTCCCTTCACATGCCTCTCTTTCCTAATAACAGGTAAGAAGAATGTGGGGTTGCAAATTCAGATACTAAGTTGGTGGTGATGGGGAGTGAGCAGAGAATGGGTATAGATGCATGGATCCAGACTCACTGGACTAGGCTCAATATAGGTTAATATAATTTTATTCAGGGAGAAGGCACTTACACAGGAAACAGATGACCGCCACAAGTTCCTGCTCCAAGAATCTACACAGGCTGCTCTCTGCATCCCGACTGGAAGCAAAAAAGAGCCACCTGTGTCCCAACCCCAGACATAAAACCCGTCTCCATCATGTCCACACCTGTGACCATGGCCAAACGGGAGTGGTCAGTGCTACAGGTAAGGGCAGAGTTGATATCTCACTATAATTTCCCTTTTAGTTTAAAGATTTAGGCTTAATACAAAACTATATTTAAGATAGCAAATATCAAGTGTGCTCTAGGGGAAGGAAATGTAAGAACATACATACTTCAGACCTATAGCCAGATTGCTGGGCGTTGATGGCTCATGCCTTTAATCCCAGCACTTGGGAGGCAGAGGCAGGTGGATCTCGAGGCCAGTCTGGTCTACAGAGCGAGTTCCAGACAACCTCCAAAGCAATACAGAGAAGCCCTATATCCAAAAACCAAAAAAATAAAAAGACTTATAGCCAGTGAAGCAACATAGAGCAAATGGCAAGAAAGATATATCCAGTCTAGGGTAAAGGAATAACAGAGATTACTACAGAGCTGCCCTAAGCTGGAAAGTTTAAGTCTTGTACCTAATATTTGTATTTAGGAAGAGAGAACAATAATTGTGACAGTCTAATCTTCACCTCACCAAAGACCTGAGAAGGAGGATAACAATACTAGGGTAGGCAGGAAGGGCAAGCTGTAGCTGATAAGCAAATCTGTGACAGAAGCTGTAGTCCCAAATGCCAGACAAACAAAGGAATTGACACCCTAACCCTGTTGTGAATTGGCCCCTTTCCTGAACATTATAAACACTTCTGCTGAAAGAAGAAAGGGGACTTGAACAAAAAAGGAAGAGATCTTAACCAACAACAAGAACACAGAAATAAAACAATACAGAAAAAACACAGAAGTCACAACACAGAAATAAAAACAAAACATGCACATGCACACAGTAATAATAATGTATTTCTTCCAAAATCTAAAAATCCAATGCAAAGGCCCCTAATGAAAATTACCTACAAGAAATTCCTGGTAAACCATTTAAAATGATTATAACTATGGCCAAATAATTCAAGCAAGACAAAGACAATGATATGAATGAACTAATGAAGTCAATCTAAGACAAGTTAAATTGTTGAAGAAAGCCCAAACTGAAAAGATGCTGGAAATGAAAAACTCAGATAAGTCACTGAAAATTCCAGTGGAAAACATCACCAACAGAATGGACCAACAGAAAAGAAGGGATGGAAGACCAGACAGAAGAATCATTCACTCAGTAAAGGTCAATGGGAAATTTTTAAAAGTATGAATGGAAGTCACCTAACCTCCAAATTCTGGGAAGAGGAAGAGAAGAAGGAAGAAGAGGAAGAACAAAACTCAGTCCATATCTATTACCCTATATAAAACTCAACTCCAAGTATATCAAGGATCAACATAACATTTTATACCCTGAATCTGGTAGGGGAGAACTTGAACTCAGTGACACAATAAGGGACTATCTAAAGAGGATCCTGGGTAGAATAGGTATTAAGACCAACAATTAATAAATGGGACCTCATTAAATTTAAAAGATTCTGATTCCAGTGAAGAGGCAGGATATAAGATGGAAGTCTTTACCAGATACACATCTGACAAAGGTTACTCTCTAGGATGTATAAAGTATTAAAAACAAAGCAACAATCCATGAGCATCAAGAAAACGAGGTACCCAGTTTAAAAATTGGACATGGTACTAAACAGAGAGTTTACAAAAGATAAAATACAAATGCCTTGGAAACATATTTTTAAATATTCAACACCCTTGGTCATTAAAGAAATTAAGTTAAAACTACATTGATATTTCATTTTACCCTAGTCAGAATGTCTAAGATAAAACAATACTCATAGCAAATACCGAAACAGATGTTGGAGAAAGGGAAACTCTTATTTACTGTTGCTGGGAGTGATATGGAAATTAGTATGGAATTTCTTCCAGCATCTAAAATTAATTTTCCACCTGATCTAGCTACCCTACTCTTGGTCTTATGCTCAAAGGACCATTATATCCTACTATAGAGGTACTTTCTCATCCATGGTCATTCTTGTTCTTTAACAATAGTCAGGACATGGAAACAGCTTAGATATCCATCAACTGATAAACTGATAATGAAAACGAGGTACACTTACACAGTGGGATGTTACCCAGCAGTTAAGAAAAGTGAATTATGGAGTCTGCCGGTCAAATGGGTACAGCTGGAAACAATCATTCTTAATAATACAACCCACACCCCAAAATACAAATGTGTGATTCCTCTCATTTGGGGATGTTCTATTTGAATCTTCTGATATATGTGCATTTCATCTGGAATGCCTATAAAGATCAGAAGAATCAGTGAAGAGCCATAGATGTTGTACTTCAAAGCGTGGGTGGTGGGGGAGATAAAATGCAGTGGTATAAGATTTACAGGGAAATAATGAAACGAGATATGTTAAATTGGGGTAGGGATGGGAGGGATAACTCACATTAAAGGACTTCAGAAAAAATCACATGGAACTCTACTACTGTAGATGTTTCTGAAATATATACATAAAATAGTTTAAATAGAGTTACCCTACAACAGGGTGACTAGATACCACAGGCTAACAAAAAGCCCAGTGCTGGGAATGGGTTACCTCTGTTGGAATGTTAACCAATGAGGTCTCAGAGACCCCAAACATTATAGGCTATTGGTGATTTTCTTGGTTACCCTCCAAAGCATGATGGAAAGACTGTACATAATTGCTGAAGACACCACAGGCTTGAGTCAGAACATAGAGAAATGAGTTGCCACTAACACGGAGAAGCTAGCTAGTGCTGAAAGGTGCTGTGCATCTAACAGTGGAGAAAAGAAATCATCAATTTTACCTATCTTTGAAATCTTGAGAGCTACAATGATTACTGGTCTGACAAGAAACTGATGCAATAGCCACACAAATGTCATAGGTTAACTACTGATTGGATTTCAAGTCTCTGTAAGACGATACCCATACCTGTCACCATTATCAGGGCCAAGACCTGTGGAGGAATGTATAACTATTATTCTGCTAAAGGCACAAAGTATTAAACTACATCCTAATGATATCTGTATACTCATAGATTAATGCATGTCTCAACTCTCATCAGAGAAGCTTCTTTCTTCAGTAGATGGGGATGGACACAGATCCGCAACAGCTCAAGATGCAGAGAGCAACAAACTATGGAATGTTCAGCCATAAATAGAACATCTACACCACACCTCTTCATACTGTGGATCAGAAATCATTGTGGAACAGGAAACAGAAAGATTGTGAGAGTCAGAGGCAAAGGATGACTACAAGGAAATAATGTTGTCTGGACACAGAAGGCAGTTTCACATATGAACTCACAGCAGTTGTGACAGCATGCAAGTTCAAGTCACCCAAAATTCCAGTATGAAGAGGGAGGTGGGCATGAATGAGGAGCTTCTGACAACTGATAGCTGCTGGGGAAGAAGAGTGAATTTTACTTAAATATGGCCCCTCATAGGTCAACCTTGCTCCTGTGGAAGGCCACTTATCCAGGGCAATATGGGTAGCACAAATTTGACATGATGGGTTATTTAAAAAGAGGTCACAAAGCTAGGTAGGTATGGGAGGGGCTATATCTGGGAGGAGTTGAGGGAGGGGATGAATATAATTAAAACACAATATACAAAAAAATTCAAAGAACTAATGAAAAATTACAGAAAAAATACTGTGGATGTTGTTCAGCCCGATGTGATTGTAGTGTTTCTTTAATTTCTGGAGATAGAATGTTTAAATTTGTGTACAGGTATAGATATTCACTAACTGGTTTCACTGGTTGGCACTTAGGAATCTTTCCTACTTAAGAGAGTGTCTCAAAAAAATGATTAATTCTTCTCCTGAGTTTCTCTCTTCCTTTTCATATGTCTTCTACTTTTACTCCCACTAACATTCTTGATTATTTACTAGACAATATCTTCCAGATAATTATCTAGTCATATCAACTTTAGGAGTAATTATTCTTTCTAATTGTTTTATTAAATAATTTTTAAGCCTTTTTGAGATAAGAGCTCATTTCATAGCCCGGGCTGATGTATAACTTGACATGTAGTCCAGGCTGATCCTGAGCTTGGTGAAGCTCCTGCCTCAGCCTCCCCAAAGGTTTTGAATTACAGGTGCAAGATACTATGCTAGGTTTATTTTGTCAAGCTACTGTTACTTATAAAATTTTTCTTATTCAGAATTTTTGTTATAACAGCCAATTTGGACATAGTGTTCTCCATTAGAACTTTCCAAGGATATTTAGTTTTTAAATTTTAAATATATATTCTGCACCTTACATTATCTCTGTGGCTTCTAAAGTTTATTCTGCTAATCTTGGCTTGTCTTTTTAATATTTCTAATGTTCTTAAATATTTGGTTACTGCTTTAATATCTATGAACATTTATGAATGAAGGACTGAGATGACAGCTGACAGAACTGATAAGAATTATCCTACAAGTACATTTATTAATTTTTAACTAATATGGTATTTTTCTTGCCTTCTAACTAATATTTAAGCTTCATATTAAATTTTTGTTTGAATTTTAATAGAAATCATATCATACATTACTGCAGCTTGCCACTTGGCTTAATACATTTGTGAAAAGTGGAAACACTGATAAACACATTATTTAAATAAATATTATTTTGTATTGCTGTGTTGTATGATACATAATACAATATGAATAGACTATTATCTTATTGCCCATTTTCCTCTAGATGAACATTTGAGATCTTCATCACTTTTTTGTTTATTTCTGCCTCGATAAAAATAGGGTTCAGTAATGATTTTGTAGCAGCAAAATCAAAATCTACTCCTAGCAAACTTCACAACTCATTTTTCACATTTAGGATAACATTCAGGTTGAGAGATCCCAACTCAACAATTTTAGAATCCCTAGTGACTAGCCCATCACAGAGTGACTTGCCCTTCTGCCCTCTACTGAGAAACCGGAGACCTCAAGATAAACCTAAAAGATAACCCTCCCTTATCCAGGAACTAGCTCACCACATTTCAGCTCAATGTTTAACTGTGAAATGCCTAAAGAATGCTTGCTTGAGATAACCTTCCTGTTAAGACATAAGCTATCATTTAACTTCCTCATCCGTTATGATGTTTGCTTAACTCCCCAATTCAGTTTTTCCCTTTAAAAAACTCCCAACTGCAGCTAGGGGGTCAAACTCCTCTGCCCCTGCGAGGGTCAAGAGCTTGGCCCCAGTGCACTGGTTCCCCGAATAAACCTCATGTGCTTGCAGCAAGAATGGTCTCTCTTGAATTATTGGGGCGTCGGCTTATCCCAAGACTTGAGTGAGGGTTTCCCCATCTGGGGGTCTTTCAGTGTCACACTTATTTTTTATAGAAATTAATTCTTTAGAAAATATCCAATGGCAAGAGTCTTTAAGAGAAACTGGAGACTGTAAAGTAAAGGTAAGAGAGGAAGCCTAGGTTTGGTGGCACAGACCTGAAATCACAGCTGTGCAGGAGGCTGAGGGAGCAGGACCCCAAGTTCAAGGCCTGCCTGAAAACTGAGGTCAGCCTGACAACTGAGCATGACTCTAAACTTGCAGGGCATGTTCCCCTCCTGCACAGGATCCAGATTCCATCCCAGAGACACAAAAGGAAAAGCAGGCTGGAGAGAGACCTTTTAAGGAAATAAAAAAAATGTATAAATGAAATCTAAATTAACTAATAAAAATAGATTCTTCCAACAAATAAACCTTCGATCAACCTGCCATTAATGCTAAGACACCTTGCTTTTCCTGCTACCGTAACCCCTGGGAAAACAGCCAAGATGCCCCAATTTGTCCTCTCTGTAACAACAGAAAATGCAATGCAGTTAACTTTCTCATCACCTCAGAGACCTTGCTGTTACCTTTGCCTAGTTTCAGGCCCACTTTTCAAAAGACCAGAAGAAAGCATTGCTGGAGAGCATTTCGGCATAAATATTTAGTCTTTCCTTTCTACACAATCACTCTGACCAAAGGGAGTCAAAAGAAATTAGTAGTTGTGACAGCACTATTTGAGGGCTCACAGAGTTTTACAACAGGCAGGTTTGCAATCCCTTCTACCTTTGCATTTTCGATGCAGGGGCAGAGAGCCCATGCTGCGCTGGCTTTCACATCTGGGTGTGGATTTTTGAGCAGGGACCACAACAAGCGAACTCCATCTAAGCGATCAATTATCCTGTGGAGAAGCCAAAAACAGTGGTGTGAACCGTAATCAGTAAATGGATGGGGAAAGTCAAGTGGCCCCCATGGTCCCACAATTTTAGTTTCTCCCCAGACAATCTGCTGGGGTCTCTTTTGATCAGAACTCCCAGAACAGCGGGACTTCCACACTATTGAATGGTCAAGTCCTCTGATTTCAGTTTCAATCTTCATGACCCCAAAAGCACACTGCTGCATGATAATTATGATTCACATAAACTAGAATCAAGCCACACAATGTCTTAGTTAGCTGTCCACAGACTGTTACCTCTATGTAAAAAGTACTGGCTCCTTCCATAATAACATCTTAAATACTCTCCAAAACAAACATTTATGCCTCAGAGTTGTGCACGTACCTTTATTATTTGGTCTGTGTTTAATTGACTTACCTTACGGTATGGCATATTTTAAACTCCTTCAATTCTAATCTAGCATTAGGAATTAAAACCATCACATCACAGTGCATCTTTGTGGGGCACACAGAACACATAACTTGTTTTCCATGTGCTTCCTTCCCAGCAAGCCTAGCACAGCAGACCTTGTTGTAATTGCTTAAACATACTGTAATCAAAACAGCTTCATGACTAACTGAAAAATGAATTATCATCAGAGTGACTCTTGAAAAAATTGCTCCTCCTACTGCAATGATCGCTCAGCACTGAAGAACAAGTGCTGCTCTTCCAGAGGACTCAAGGTCAGTTTCCAACACCCAAGCTGGCTGGCTCACAACTGCCTACCTGGAATTCCAGATCTAGGAGACCCAGTACCCTGTTCAAGAACATACCAACCCACAGACATAGGCATACATGCAATTTTTTAAAAAAGCTAATTAAAATTTAAAGTAAATAAAAATAAAGAAGAAAGCAATCCAGGAAGTCACTCTATGTCAACCTCTAGTCTCCAAATGCACACTCACTCGCGCACACACAGGAACATATACATGCACTATGCACGCACACACAACTACACACACACACACACACACACACACAGAGAGAGAGAGAGAGAGAGAGAGAGAGAGATGCTTTTCCCCAAGATTACACTTAGCTACAAAAGAAAAAAAAGTTTTCAGTTCATTCCATAGCCGTAGAAATTCACCAGCTGCCTCGTCACAAGAAATAAGGGTTATGATCTGTTACCAATGTCTTCAAAGACTTGGTAGAAGAGGAGTGATTTCACCATATGAGGAAAATACCATCAAAACCATTTGTACACATGGGAACTGGTCGGGAGAAGTGAGCCCCACAAGTCAGCTGTATCCCTCCTCTGTTCCATCCCCAGCATGGAATGGCTGACTCCCAGGATTCCTATGTCAGTCACCTGCTCCTGGTAGTCACTCCCTGCTCATAGCTCTGCTGAGAACCAGCATGCTTGATGTACTCAGCTTCTCTCCATTCCCGTTCCTACTATAACTCCCGCAGAAGGCATGGTTGGAGCTTCTGTGTAAGCTCTCTGAGAACAGTGACCCCGGCAGAGATGCAAGTTCAGCCCCTGATATCACCTTGCACAAGGTTCCATCAACCCTGCTGAGCAATTCACAATCATGTCTGATGGCTTCCTGTTGCCTGCATAGTATTAAAACCCTAATTCTGAGTTTAATAATTGTTTTTAAGAAACTGATTTAGTTCTTCCAATTCTCTTATTCAAACAGTTTCTCATAAAACTTCACCACTATTTACTAAACATAAAGGACTAGGCATTCATAAATAATAAATACATTCAGCTCTCATTACCAGGGTTTGTTATGCACCCCAAAGTCAGCACAAATGAACAAATACTGAATGGTTCGGCTGGTGGGAAGATGAGGCCTCTTCCTGGGAGCCTCTGGCCCAGCATTTTCACTAATCCATCACATATACCCTGTTCTGTGTAAGCTTTCAAAATGAAATCTTACTGAATAAACATCGTGCAGCATATATAAAACTCAAACGAAGTTCACCAAACATAAATGTTTGAAAGGTACACTACAGCTTTCTGGAGCTTACATACTCTGGGTAGATAGTCCTTCAGGACTTCTCTTAAGGGCATTTGATGACATCATCACCAATCCAAAGCACAAAGATGCACAGACATGGCATAAATAGAACATTTGTTTACTGGGTAAGAGCTGAAGCATTGTGAGACACACCAGTGATTGCCAGCATTGGGTAGGCTGAGGCAGGAGGGCTGTGAGATCCCATGGAATAATAATCTAAAAAAAGGCAGAGGCCCACCTTTCCCTATCTTAGCTAGAAACATGCTCTGGACAGCTCAGAAATTTTCAGTGTCCTCCCGTGTCCAAACCTCAGAGCAAAAAGCTGAAAGGACATGCATAACTTTTAAAGACTTTTATTTCACGTTTAATTACAAGGGGTAGGCGCACATGAGTGCAGTTGTCTTTGAGGGCCAGAGGCATCAGATCTATGTGGAGTTGCAGTACAAGGTGGCTGAGCCAATGTGAGTGCTGAGAAGTGAATTCAGGTCTTTTCCAAGAACATCTCTCCAGTCCCTGTGATCTTTATTTATAAATAGAGTACAGGGGTTCATCAACACAGAATCTTCAGATGAGGAGGAATGCCTGCATGTTAATTGTCCTTCAAGGAAGTACAGTCTCATGAGGGACTAGGGATCATTGTTGTAATCCAAGCAAACACGGCTCCGCCCCTTGGGAACCTGGCACACCCATCTGGGGCATGACAGCTTACAAACCTTGACCCATTAAGAGGAGAACTCCACCCTCCTCCCTCTCTCTTCTTCTGTTCTCTCTCTGAGGAGACAACTCTTTTTGTCTCTCTCCCTGTGTCTGTGTATCTCTGTCACTATCACTTCTTTCTTTCCTTCCCTTATTTTCTTACCCCCAGTAAACTTTCATAAAAGGCGTGTCTGCAGGTCTGTTTTCCCACCCGCTGCGTCTCTCACCCGTCTTGGTTCCCTCCTTCTGCTGTGGGACCCACCAAGGTTCCCAAGCGCCATATTCACATTGCTAACAACCATTGCTGTGCGTGCATGTGCGCCAAGTAAAGAGAGAGGGTGCTATGCCAAGGCCACAGGAAAGCTGCTCTCCACTTACAGTGCCCCTGTGAGCCGATATCCAAGGCCCATGAGAAAGTCACCTGAAAATCTCAGACTTGGAAGCTGCAGGATCTGGAGTTCCAGGCCAGTGTGGGATACAGAGCAGAACCCATCCTCAGCACAAATACAGGAAAGTAAAACAATACAAACAAATAAACAACCCCCCTTTAGGCCTTCTGGCTTCCTGTTAAACTTTTGTAAGACTCCCCCTGCTTTCCAGGAGTCCAAGCACAGCGCTTTGCCTGTAGTGATGTGTTTTCTCCTCCAGCACGAGGTGACCTCCCTGGTAGAGGCATTCTATATGGTTTGCCATGCACAAGGCTGTGACCACAGTCTGAGGACACTGGTTAAGCAGATCTGAAACAGAACTGTCTTTGCTTATTTCTTTTTTCGGTAAACCAGAAAAGTATCTCCCAACACCAGCGCATTCCTTCAAAAACCTCACACTGGAAAAGCACATGGTTCCATTCTAACCAGTAATGTTTTTATTTGAAATTGTCTCTAGATTGAGCACATATTTACATTGAGGTTTTTGCAAGTTTATTGCTTCTTGTGGAGCAATGGTGGCCTCACAGGTGATATTAATTTCAATAACTACTCACTTTCTGTACATTTACCCCCTTTTTGCAGCTCTTAAATTTGACTGCCAGCTTGCTTTGAATTTGTTTCCAAAGGTACTATCTCTCCACACTCCTATATAAAGGGAATTTTATCGTTATCGCTTGACATCATAAAACAAAGCTTACCTATGCCTTTCCAAGCTTGTCTGTTTTACCATGGAAATCAAACTGTTGGCAGCATAATAGCACTAGGGAGATAGCTAGATGTTCAATTTCTGGCTTTCTTTTTAGTTAATAGCAATCCTGGGTTTGGCGGCACACACCTGCAGCTCCAGTACTTGGGAGATGAAAGCAAGAGGCTCAGGTGTTCAAGATCTTCAGCTGTGTAGAGCATATGCGGCCAGTCTGAAGTACATGAGACCCAGTCTCAATCCACATACCTCCCCAGCAAAAAATGGACAAACAAAAAGTCAAAATTAGAAAAAGATGCAGCTGCTTCTGTCTTCTGGCTTCCTGTGTCGTGTTACCAGGACTGGAAGATGTCTGACTGGCATCCGTGCCCACCAAGGCCACAGATATAAACAATTGGTTTTGTATCACAGGGCATGGGCAAGGCTATTGGTTCTTTCTGGGAAAACCAATGTATTTTGAAATCATAATGTTGCATGCTTTGTAAAATGTTACAGTAAGAGATGCTTCATTGCCCAGTCTCCAAAGCTAAGCTTTTCAGTTAGTTATGCTGGTGACCCTCAGAGCTCCATGAAGTGAAGATGTGTTTCTCTTTCCATCCAGTAGGTCGTCCTGACAGGCGCTGTCCCAATAGTCTGTTTGTATCGTGCAGCACTGGCATTTTGTAATACTCATCTAACAGAATTGTTTTATTGGAAATTGTGAAATAGAGGCTTTCCCCAGTTTCCAGCCTGAGCAGCTGACATTCCACAGTTCCTCTCATCAACTACAGCTTTCCCAAACTCCTCAAATGGACCATGAGTATTTCACCCTTTTTTTGTTTTTTGTTTTTTGTTTTTTTTTTGTTTTATCGAGACAGGGTTTCTCTGTATTGTTTTGGAGGCTATCGGTCCAGCCCAGCCTCGAACTCACAGAGATCCGCCTGCCTCTGCCTCCCGAGTGCTGGGATTAAAGGCGTGCGCCACCACCGCCCGGCTCACCCTTTTGTTTTAGTGCCAGTTGTGATTACTTACTCCTGTGAGCTGACTTCTTAACTCTTCATTGCTTACATTTCATGTCATTAAATCTATCACTTATTTACTTTATGATTTTTTTTTCAGAGTGCATGGTTAATTTTAATATTTTTTTATTTTATTTTCCAGTTTAAATTTAGATAAGAATCAAGGTTGATTCACAA